CCCACAAACATTACCAGTAGAAGTGGTATGTAGGTAATAATACGTAGTTGTAATAACAAATTTGGTTGATTTTAATTATTATCCATATAATTTACTTCTTCAGTCAATAGATCAGTGGCTTTCAAAAGTAACACCACCTCCACTGGAAAGAGGCTTATTCCACATGGAGTTGCTGTTACACTTGATAACACTGTTTAAGAGCCATTAGTTATCTGCCTCTCTGAGCCTACATGGGAAAAAGAATTTACCTTTTCTTTCATATTATTGCAAATTGGTACTCTTTCTCCTCTACAGATACCCAAAATGAATGTTGTGAGAATTTGGGACCTTATACATTACTGCCACTCCATGAGCACTGTGTAAAATGACATAAACAGCAGCAGGTGTCAGTTGTCCAACAAAGGCTCTGTAAAAAGAATGGAAACTGAGTTTGAAAATAGACAAGTCTTTCTAAAGAAACAGCCCTTTGATATTGTGATAAAGGGCATAACATATACTGTTTAAAAAACAGAAACTGATTATAACAGAAAGACATACGTTTAGGGATGAAACATATCTTTGAAATTAAAACACTGATTGTGAAGGACTTACGTATAAAGCTTAATGCAATATGAAGCTATAAGTCTTAAATATGAAGCTATAAGTCTTAAATATTTTCAGCTTTAAAAAGAAAATACCGCTGATTGTTATAGATTAATCCTGAATAATTTTGAATACATTTAAGAACGTTCATGGATAAAAGTAGTAAGTTATAAACTTGTAATTAGTATAAATATTTGTGTTGGTCTGACTCGAGTTTAAGTTGAATTACTTTATTTGCTAAAGCAGCTTCTTTCTTCGTGCTCCCGTTTAACTTGAAAAGCAGGGTTAAAGATGTGTTAAGATTTTCCAGATTGCTGCAAGTTGCTGCCCTTTGCTTAAAAGAAATGCCTTAAATCAGCTTGAATCATCTAATCCTTCAGTCACTGTGATCCAGAATACAAGTGCATTTTGTAAACGGACAATATCACTATTCTTAAATAGTTCGAAAAAAAAACAGATGCATGTTACATTAAAAAAAAGAAGAAGTTACCTGGCACTCCGAGCTTTTAAGAGGAGCAAGGATGGTCAGCATCTGTTCCTTTCCACGCCTGAAAAATATCTCAATGCTGCTTAATTTCTCACTAAATAAGCATTTGGCGGAATCAATATCAGGGTTCAAAATGATTGGCTGGCGTCATGGTAGCGTGAATTGCTCTGTGGATTTCCAGACTAGAAACCTAAGAGAATGACACGTAATAGGAGTTCTGCCCAATCTGGCATACGAATGTAGGGCAAAGTTTTACAGCAGGGCTCCTGTTGCTTACACTGTGAATTATGGTTTTCAAACTCTGGCCTGCCATTTGTAGGAGCGATAAGTCGTTATTTGAGGAAGGTGTTGAATGTACACTGCAGAGAGAACTTTTAAGTTAAAGTTGTTGGGGTTTTTTTTTTAAACACAAATTATACAGTTGAGAACAGGAAACATATTTCTGATATTTGTAATCATTTTGGCAAGAGCCACTGGAATGGCTTCTAAGAGAAAACAAACAGGTTTTGGAAAGGTTTTAAGGATAATCTAATGTATATTCCTCGTTACGTTACGTTAATAACGTTACGAAATCATCGCAAAATCATTCATTTTATAAGGAGCAAGAACAGTGAGCTATCAATGATTATAGTTAATATTTATATCAAGTTTATTGGCACACATGCTTTTTTAATTATAAAAAACTTTTTTTATACTTTATGGGATACAAGAGAATCTTCGGAAACTATATGTTGTTTTATATAGTATGTTAATTCTAATTTCTTCAGGAAATAAATCTGAAAATATATATATACTGGCTTGTGAGTTTAAGGAATTTGTTATACCATATTCTCAATTTTAAAGCACAGCTACAAGCATTTCTTTCTTCCCTGTAATTACCTTTAGGCAGGCAAAATATGGCATTAGAAGAAGTCATTTTCCGTGAAAAGAACCTTGAAGCCAGAACTAGAAATATATATTTTTTTATTGTGAAATCTTGAAAGACTCTTTTTAGGATTAAATCTCTAGATATGGGCAATCTTCTCCCATAAAAGCCCAATTTCTCTAGTCACACAAATTGAGGACCTTGTGATTTTTAAACCTTTTTTACAACGTTTTCATATATTTCCCCTATATTTAGTAAGATTATTTGTTGAAAAAATCCATCTCTGTTTATATATGATAATAATAAAGCAGTTTAGGCTTGTATTAATTTATATTACTAATTCTATTCTAAATAAAACCTTAAAATGTATTTTTCTGAATCTTAAACAACTGCATTGCTGCTTTCAGTAGCCCCAAATAGATACATTATTTGATGTTTAGTTTTATATGTCTTGTTCTATCCCAAAAGAATACATGCATGGTAGGTAAATTTAAATGCCATTAATCATATTACAGTTTTTGCATTTGCTGTTCTTGGTATGATATCATTAATTTCTTTATTCAGAGTATTTCATTATGGATTAGAAGTTGTAGGAACAGAAGAAAGTTATATGGTAACAGCCCACCCTTTGAAAAAAAAATTGACCCTAATCAGTTTTATTGCAAATAACTGATAGAATAGCATGCATGCATTTATAATATTTGCAAGAAAACTACAAGTTGTATTTTTTAAATTTTGATAAAGGATTTAATTTGATAAAAAAAGTGTGCCTGTTAAATAGTTGAGACTCACTTCAACCATCTTTGTAGGATCAGCACAATATCCTCATTCCATACCCCAGATGATCTTTAGAAACTTGGTGTCTTCCAGATGTCTTCATTCACTTCATTATTATCCATCATGGCTAATAAGCAGCATTTTGAAAAGACCGCTCTAGGTCAGGGGTGTCAAACTGCCTGCCCGCGGGCTGGATGCATCATAGCGAAACTGTGCCCACCCCATTGCCAGCAATGGCAAAAAAAGTCACAATACGTCGCGACACGTCATGTGACATTGTGAGTTTGACACCCCTGCTCTAGGTGTTCTTAAAGTCATTCCCTCCTCACTTGCAGAGGAAGCATAACCTGTATAAGTTTTTCATCAAGTATTGTATATTCCTTAGTTTAGGAGAGAGAAACCTTTGCAGCTGCAACAAAAATTAAAAATTATTAGCTGCAAGGGGTATGATGATGATTTGATGACATCATAAAAGAGAAAGAGTAGAATTTTAGCCCCTTTTTATGATGCTGTTAGAATGTTAGAATGTTAGAAAAGCAAAGAAAATTTACAGCAATGAAAATCCATGATTCTCTAATGAATTTAGGTGGGAAACCACCTTGAGATTCAGAAACCACCTGCAAATCAAAAGTTGGGGCCCTTATTTAACTTTGGTTAATAGCATAAAAGCAGGGCACATCCATAGGAAGAAAAGTTCAGGAGTGCTAAGATTAGGTATTATTAAACTGAAGCATTTTGATTAATGATCAAGGTGTGCAGAAGTAGCTTTGCACAGCTGTGTTTTTTACTCACTTGCTATTTCAGTCCTTTCACAGTTTATCTTAAATAGATTTATATATAAAAAATTGTTTATTTGTAATTTACACTGTAGCTCTTTCTTACATGTGAAAACTTTTAATGGCTCCTGGTTTTCCCAATTAATGTTATACTACAGAACACAGATTAATAATTTCCTGTCTGTCTGTCACTGATTCCTTTCTTTTCCTTGTAGAAAAAGCACTGAGAATGTTATTAAACTAGTGGAGCAACATGGCAGTGATGCCTGGTGGACACTTCCCATTGAACAGCTTCTTCCCAAAGAAGCTCTGGCAAAGGTAATTTAGGGACAATGGAAAGCCCTCTATGAAGATCTGAGCTACAGAAGAATAACTGAAGTGTGAAATTAAAAGTCAGGATTCAGGAAATCCAAAGGCCTGGCAAATGAAGGGTTAACCTGAATCTGATTCATAGTAGTGAGCTAGTCTAAGTGATATTGCTGTAACATTCTGGGGACTTTCCAACAAGTACCATGGTTCTAAAGTATAGGCCAATGTACTTTGAATGTAAGCCAACATAGAATACAGCATTGACAATTATTTCTGGGAAAATGATTTCCCAGATCTACCCAAAGGGGATATCATGAAACAGCAGAGATTTAAGGCAATATCATAAGCATCTTATGTGTACAACTGTGTGTGTGTGTGTGTGTGTATACAGTTACAGTCAGGTGAAAAAGTTACATAATCAGGTGCAATGGACTGTACTCCAAGAAGGTTTATTGCATAATTTGGTCATTTTTAAGATGCCAACAAAAAGAACAACGTGGGTTCATTTTTGTAATGTGCATACAAATAAACATCCAAAATACAGCAATGTTCTCTTATTCATGTTGCCGTTAAGAAAATTGGTGATAATGCTGTTACTGGTCCTTTGGCGCAGAAATAGGAATGGAAGAATTTAAGTTGTCCTTATTTTCTTAATTCATGTTTTTAACTCATATATTTTTAAATCAGGCTGCTAATCCTGATATCCAGGAATATGTACAAGGACAAGATGTGTTGGATATTTGGTTTGACAGTGGAACATCTTGGGCTCATGTTTTAGAAGGTAAGAAGTTCTGAATTCAAAAATATTTCAGAATTGCCTGGTAAATTTTAAACATAGCTGGGCTTGCACTTCATGAAGTAACTATAGAATCAGTTTAACGAAGAGAAGGACGAGGGGGGACATGATAGCAGTGTTCCAATATCTCAGGGGCTGCCACAAAGAAGAGGGAGTCAAGCTATTCTCCAAGGCGCCTGAAGGCAGGACGAGAAGCAATGGGTGGAAACTGATCAAGGAGAGAAGCAACCTAGAACTAAGGAGAAACTTCCTGACAGTTAGAACCAGGGCTTTTTTTCAGCCGGAACGCGGCGGAACCGCGTTCCGGCACCTTTTTCCGGGCCGGCCGCACCGGAAATAGCCCCTCCCAAATTTTACTTGCATTCCTGTTCTCTAAAGGGGCGGTCCTAGGGTTTGATGAGGGCGTGGCCAGGTTTGAGTTCCGCCACCTTTTCTCCGAGAAAAAAAGCCCTGGTTAGAACAATTAACCAATGGAACAACCTGCCTCCAGAAGTGGTGAATGCTCCAACACTGGAAGTTTTTAAGAAGAGACTGGACAGCCTTTTGTCTGAAATGGTGTAGGGTTTCTGCCTGGGCAGGGGGTTGGACTCGATGACCTCCAAGGTCCCTTCCAACTTTATTATTATTATTATTATAGAAATGGAAGAGACATTAGAGGTCATGTGCTTAGCGAAGGATCCACTGGATTATCTCTGACCCGAAAATATATTAAGCTACATCCAGGGGCAATTAGAGAAAGGTGTTTTAAGATGACAATGTGTTACTCAATTTTCAGGCAATACAACGAATTTTGAAAATACAATAAGAATATGGAGAAGACTTTTATATATATATCCCTTATGGTAGGACGCTCCAGTGCAGTTGGAATCAGAATTTAGTGTAGGGCATCAACTGCTTTTGAACTTTAAACCAAGAGTACACAAATGTTAGATAGCAATCTTTTGAACTGTAAAACATGCTGGCCCTGGATTTTTTATTTTTATTTTTAATTTCCTTGAAACCCAGGGAAGCAATAGTATCATCAAGAATGAATTTATCTAAGGACTTCTTGCACTTTGATTTGAAATTGTTAAGCTGTGTAAAATTCACTGTCCTAATTGAACTACAACATTTTAATAATGGTATAAGGCTCTTTGTTTTTCTATACTTTAAACTCCATGATTTCGCACTTTCCAAGCCACAACCACAAGTGTGTAATGTAACATAAAACCAGTAAATAAAAAGGAAAGAACGTGTATAGTGAATTCATGTAAGTCTTCGGTACACTATTGGTGAATTTTCGAGACTATAAGAACTCTAGCCATGAGAGGTAATGACTGTTCATTGTCTGATCATGCAACAGCCATTAGCCCAGCTCTGTACTAAAAGTCCCTGCCCTATAGGTCAGGGGTCTCCAACCGTGGCAACTTTAAGACATGTGGACTTCAAGCTGGCTGAGGAATTCTGGGAGTTGAAGTCCACAAGTCTTAAAAGTTGCCAAGGTTGAGGACCCCTGCTATAGGTAGTTGTTTCCCAGCATTGCTACAGGAGCCATCCTAGAAGATTTCACTGGTTATTTCAACTGGTCATTTGGGTTTCTTTAAATTCCTCTTTCATTTACAAACAAAATAAAATCATTAGAATGAAAGATTACCTATGTTTGAGACTTTAAATAGGATTATGAAATTAAGTTATATATTACTGGTCCTGAGCCTATGGCATCTCCTGTTAAACGTGTGCTTTATTAGGAGAATAATAGGAAGGTGTGCAGAAAATTCCATCAGTCATATTTCCTCATTTTCATGCTACTGGGGCCTTCTTTAGGCTATAAGCTGCTCTATTCTAGGGCCAGGGGTAACTGGATGTGTAGCACATTGCAGAAGCGTGTTAGATGGCAAAGCAAAGCAATGAAACTATTGTCCTCTGTTGCACATTAGAATAGAGTAGAGCTGGAAGGGACCTTGGAGGTCTTCTAGTCTAGCCCCCTGCTCAAGCAAGAGAACCTATACCATCTCAGATAAGTGACTGTCTAGCCTCTTCTTAAAAATCTCCAGTGATGGAGCACCCATGATTTCTGGGGGCAAGCTATTCCACTGGTTAATTATTCTCACTGTCAGAAAGTGTCTCCTTAATTCCAGGTTGCTTCTCTCTTTGATCAGTAGTAGTAGTAGTAGTAGTAATGAGGAGGAAGAGGAAGGGACCCTGGAGGTCATGTAATCCAACCCCCTGCTCAGGCAGGAAACCCTATACCATTTCAGACAAATGGCTGTCCAGTCTCTTCTTTAAAACTTCCAGTGTTGGAGCATTCACAGCTTCTGGAAGCAGGTTGTTCCACTGATTAATTGTTCTAATTAATTAATTCTAATTTATTTCTCCTTAGTTCTAGGTTGCTTCTCTCTTTGATTAGTTTCCATCCGTTGCTTCTTGTCCTGCCTTCAGGTGCTTTGGTGAATAACGTAACCCCCTATTCTTTGTGGCAGCCCCTGGAATACTGCTATCATGGCTCCCCTATTTCTTCTTCCTATTTCAACCCAAGTCCTGCAGCTGTTCTTCGTATGTTTTAGTCTCCAGGCCTTTGATAATCTTGGTTGCTCTTCTCTGAATTTTTTCCAAACTCTCAACAACTTTTTTGTGATACGGTGACTAAAATTGGCTGGAGTATTCCAGATGTGGTCTTACTAGGATTTTATAAAGCGGGTACTAATACCTCACATGATCTTGATTCTATGCCTGTGTTTATACAACCCAGGATTGTATTAGCTTTTTGGGCTGCTGCTGCGCATTGCTGGCTCATGGTTAAATAATCGTCCACTAGGACTCTGTGCCACTTGTTACTTCAAATGATATTTTTCTTGATCCTCAGTCAAGATCAATGCACACAGTCATGTGTGCATGCACATGAATTGAACTTAGAATTGATTTAGTAGTTGGAATATATTTATACAGTTGGGCTAAAGTGGGCTTTCTTGCAAAGCATGCTGCTTTTGATCTACCTGTATGAAAGTCAGAAATTGAAATTTTAATGCAAGATTATGAGCTACTAAAACTTTATAATTTGAATTCTTCCTGCACAATTAGGCCAAATCTCTAGTTAAAAATGGAGAAGCCAGTGTAGCATCAGATAAAGAAAACATGTGACCATCAAGATCAGTTTCTAGAACTGATAAATGCAGCAGCCTAATTTCCTGCAGAGCTATCATACTAATGTTTAACTAAAAAAATACTGTTTTACAATGCCTACCTTTAGTGCTGACAGGGTATTTAAAGGAAAAGGCCTAGATAATTGTACTTGCCATTAAAACACAGTGTTTAATCTATGGGTTAAAGTCTCTTATCAAAGATACACAGTACATTGCTCAAATAACAACAGAAAAGGATTTTAAGGACCTATGCCCTCTAACTGTAAATAATAACCCCAATTAACTTTATCAATTGTTAAAGCTTGTGATCTTTGATAAACTGCAAGATGTTTGTTGGAGAAGAATGTAGCATCTAAGTTAAGTAGCACAGTATATGCAATTTAACAAAAACATTCTCCATTTACATAAGATTTTTCAAAGAGTTTACTCCATAAACATTCTTATCTATAACCTAGGTTATAAAACCTTTCTGTCCCTTTACCACATTTCAAAAGTATTGTTACGGACCTACGTAAGTAATAAAAATAGTGACATAATATAAACTTAAATAGTTCCTTGTTATGTACTGTCTCTTGTTTGTATTTCTTAGTGTATAAACTGTCTCTAAGAAATATAATTTATTCATTAAATCAATATATCCATGATTGTTTAAAAGAATATTTTTTCTTATCAATCAGTGGCTTGCATCTCATTACCCTATGTCAGAATTATTACCAGTGTAATTGTGCTAAAGCAATGCATCAGGTTAAAATAATCATAAATATAGTCAAGTGACTTACAAATTATGATTGAGAAGAAAAATGTATTCCTTTAAATATTCAATAGATTGCATAACACTGATTCAGAATTTTTATTAATAAACAATTATTTTTACCACAATAAATGCAAGTTACAGCTAGATCTAAATATATAATTTTTGTAAAATTAATTGAAGTATTAGAGGGAAAGGCAGTCTTACAACTTTATATGGAATTTGAATAATTATAGTGAGCAGATTTATAAGGAACATTTGCTTCTAGTAGCTTTGTAGAGAGGAAAAATTCCAATTTTTCTTTCCTAGAGCTTCAGGGGTACAGTAGCTGCATTTGTCAAAGGTTCTGTCTTCTTTCCTTCTATTATGTTCACAGTTGTAAGCTGTATTGATCTGGCAAGTCAATAACATAACATAATTACTAGGTATAAGAGTCTATAAATTAAGTTTGCCTAACAGCAACAAAATTCTGATTATTTTTTTTAAAAAAAGAAATTAAATCCATTATAAACACTTCAGAATTGCCATTTGAGTAACAGAGTACTATATTTTTTTTTTAAAACTTAGTAAACGTTGCCATATTTCTGTTAGATGATTTCCACTTCAGCTGATTCAACACTGAAAGCAAGTAGATAATTCAGAATTTTTAAGAATCTCAATTACAAATACTACATTGCTTATGTTTTTAGATACAGGTGAAAGAGCTGATGTATACTTGGAAGGAAAAGACCAGCTGGGAGGTTGGTTCCAGTCGTCCCTCTTGATTAGCGTAGCAACACGAAAAAAGGCACCATATAGGTAAGCTGGTGGATGAGTTTTGGGGCAGCTATGGTAATATACACTGTCTTTTAAGAATGTATATAGAAGAAATCTAAAGGAAGCATGGGATTACCTGAGGTCTTTCTTCTAGGACTCTCATTGTTCATGGATTCACTGTTGGTGAAAAAGGAGAAAAGATGTCTAAATCTGTCGGCAATGTGGTTGATCCAGATGTTGTCATCAATGGAGGCAGTGTAAGTAATTACATAGTTCTACTTGCCATCTGAAAATGCAGTCTATTGGTTCAGTTTGGCTTCAGTTATTTCCTTCCTGGAAATATATTTTTGGCATTAAATCCTGCTCCCCTTCTCCCATTATTATTGGCAAAATAGTACTTTGGGCAGCTCAATATATTTTCTAATGTTAATACGGTAGTAGAGTTAACCATGTAAAGATTGCAAAATTCCATCAAGCCACCAGATGGCAGCACGGTGCTACACTTTGGGGCATAAATATTTGCTTTTTGCTATCTCGTGGTCATGGAGATTTTTGCAAATCAGAAACAATAGCCAAATGAATGGTCTTAGTGTGCCTGGAAAGCAACATACAACAGATTGTTGGTCTTGGTAGCTTAAAATGTGGATGATGCATGTAACATAATTTATTAACCTCAGAAGCTTTTGATTTTGCTCTCATTGCCACGCGGGAAAAGTCCAAAGCTCCTGATGAAAAGATAAATTCCTGCCCCACATATCCCTTGAGTTAGATTTACTTCCTTATATATCCTCAAACAATCATTTGCTCATAGACCTGAGAGCATCAGCTATAGAAACCAATAGTAATAAAAGTGAACAGTTTTATTGCTGCTCAGTTTGCTTATGAGTGGTTGCTCTGTGGGGAAGAAAGCTGCCAGACCTGATAGCTTTAACCTTAGCTGGTTTTTTCAACCAGGTGTGGGTCTATGTTGTTACACAGGGTTTTGGGTTTTTTTTAAATTTCTGTGTAGACACTGGCTTCCTTTTTCTGCATCTTTCATTCCTATGGCACATAAAACAGAGTGTTAAGCTAAACTAGTGGCAAACCAGGACTCAACAACAGTGTGCATTGCCATAGTTTGTTCACCTTTAAGAGCTTTGTGAATGAATTTACTCTGCACTAGATGAGTAAAAAAAAAAAACAGATCGACAGGCAGGATTGCTTTGAGGACCTTTGTAGCATTTCATTTGCACAAACCGATGGGAGGCCCTTTGCGCCTGGCTCAAGTAGAAGTGACTGTGCTGGTGGGAAGGGTAAGATGGTTGTTTTGGTGAGTTGGAATGACTAACGCAGTAAAGTACAGTGGCTGAGCTGTTAGGCTACCAATAAAATACCAAGGTTCAAGTCCACCCACAGCCAGGGAAGTTCACTGGGTAATTTTGAACTGGTCACTTTCTCTTAGCCTCACCTACCCTATAAAGATGTTGTGGGGGGAAATGGGAGGGTGGTACAAATAAATATGGTTTAGTCTTATGTGCCAACCAGCCATAAAGGAAACAAAAGAAGGGGGGGTTTCTCCCCAGTGGGCTTCTGCTATCTTGCCTCTACTTACTACTGTATCTGGTAAGGTTTAGGGCTAAGGGCTCTTGATCAACTTTGTTCCCAAAGAGTCAATCCTAATTTTACAATTCAGATTTACCTGTGAGACTGATATTAATATGTAGGAAATGCTTTATATAAGTTTTTCTCAGTCTTCAATCCCTAGATGCTGGACTTGAGCTTCATATCATTATTAGCCAACCTGGTTGGCATGAAGGATTTATATAGGTTTTGTTTTTCAATAAGATTACCTGGGAAACATTTATAGATCATGAAAACTGCACTTCAGAATCCCCTCCTAAACTGTTGCTTCTTTTCTATTAACGTAGACCTCAGGAGGAAGCCATCCTCAAGCAATTACATCAGCAGCTGTTTATTGCTTTATTCGTTTTTTTGTAGAGGAGCTCAACTCAGCATACGTAGTGTTCCCTTCACTTTTTCTGTTTAAAAACCCTGTGAAGTAGGTTTGGGTCAAGAGAGAGTGACTGTTCCAAAGTTATGCAGCGATCTTCCAGGGCCAAGAATCTGGGCCTGTCTATCACTTTATCACAGTGCCATATTGTTTCTATTTGCTAGGATATGAGAATATGTGTGCGCATGTGCACGTGTGTGATATTTTACAGAGCAGCAAGCAGGACACTTGTTTTCTGGCAGTGTCCCTCCTTGACTGATGTCAAGGTTGTTCAAATAGCAAACATGGTTTGACCTTCCCCTCCTTCTCACTTTGCAGCAGACAGCCAGTTTGGTGTAGTTCTAGTCTGATCTTAGGTAGGAAAGCCAGCTGGGTGACCTTGGGCAAATCACTCTCAGCCTAACCCACCTCACAGAGGAGTTGTTATGGAGAAAATAGGAGGGGAGAATATTATGTACAGTTACTGCTTTGAGTTACTTATAAAATAATAAAGGTGAGATAAAACTCTAACCTAATAAATAACATGAGCAGCTTTTTTTGTGTGGTGGTGGTGGTGGTGGTGGTGCATCAGTCATACTTTGTAGAGTTACATTGTTCGGCATTTTACTTTCACACGAGTTGCCCAACAAATACCTTCTCAGAGATTTATTTTTCGATGATTCTTGACAGGCTCTCTACATTCCTCTGGGGAAATGTCTTTATGGCCAACTTTGCTGCACGGTTATAAAATAATATGTTGAATTTATTTTGGAGAACAGGGGCTCATTGAGCAGTTACCAGCACTGAAAGGTGTTTCCTCTCCATTCTTGTCAATGTATAGGACCACAGCACTGAGCCACCATACGGGGCTGATACTTTACGCTGGTGGGTGGCTGAGTCCAATGTTTACACAGAAGTGCAAATTGGACCTACTGTGCTCAGTTCTGCTCATGATGATATTAACAAGGTAAGCAAACAAACACTCTGATGCCTTTTCCTAAGTAGGAGCCACTACAGAAATAGTTCAGCTTTCTGGAATGTGTAGTCAGGAAAGAAGGTGTCTCCATAATATCTCAATAGTAGTTTTCCCTTCCTTTGCCATTGGAAGTTTTCACTTGTGTATCTTCATGATAATAGTAATGACTTTACCCATCATGGTTGTATTTATTTATCTGTACCTTCAAGTTAACTCTTAGCAAATACATGGACAACTGCTTGGAATTTTATTGGCAACATTTCAGAAGTGCTGAGCTTTAGATTTGCCATTGCCTCCTTCTTAGGGCAGGGAGAAAGTGTCTGGCCCAAGTCTGCCAGCTAACTTTTATACCTAAGGCCGGAGTAGAACTTATGATCTTCTGGTTTCTACTCTTATTTCTTTTAAGCACAAACTGATTCTTGCCCTTCGTGGTTATTGATCCTAGAATAATTGTCCCCTGGATTTGCTTTTTGGAACAGGGACTTTAATGCATCTTTACAGTTAGATACAGTATCACAAGCCAGTCAGGGAAGTTCCCCTTGTCTGTCTGTTCCTTCTTCATGCAGTATTCAATGTATGACGTTTTTAAGCTGCAAATTTCACTAATTAGTGGTATAAAAATATTGAACTATATGTTGCCTGTATTTAGGCCTGAAGTGTAATAGACCTGTCCCAGTGTTGTATTATAATCAAAGGACTTACTCGTCATTAATGGGAATTAAGACAGCTTTACTCATTAGGAATCTCCTGTTTCTATATCACTGCAAACCAAATCTTTGGAGAAGAGACTGGTGAAAGAACTGGAAGAAATATGGGGGCTATTGAGAATCATCTCATCCAGCAACTCTCCTGCATGATTTCCAGAAAAGTTCTAAATACTTCCAGTCCATCTCACCCTAAATCTCAAAACAGATCTTGTGGTAGAAGAACCTGTCTGAATGATCTCTTATATATTTTTTTTGCCCCCCAAAATAAATACATGGCTATATAGATGGTAAAAGCTTTTCAAAAATTACTTGAATTTCACAAACTATCTTTGGAATTTGTTGATAGCTTCGAAATACACTTCGTTTTTTGTTGGGCAATCTGGCTGGCTTCAGTCCTGAGACAGACTCAATCCCCACATCAGAGATGTATCTGATAGACCAGTATATACTCCATCTACTGCATGGCTTCGCTACCAAGGTAAGCACTAGGGAATGTCTGGAACTATGGACACTTGTAGCACAGAGCGGTTGATTTGTGAACTGGATAGATACATTTTTGGAGAAAACTCTTTTAACTGTTGTATTATTGTACTAGAACTGCTAAAGATATCAACTTGCGGCTTAAGAATATCCTGTCCAATAGACCAGGGGTCCCCAACCCCCAATCTGTGGACCGGTACCAGCCCGCGGCATGCCAAGCAAAGCCTCATCCATAGGATGCAGGCAGCACACAAAATCACACACTCTCCGGTCTGTGGAAAAACGTTTCTCCATGGAACCGGTCCTTGGTGCCCCAAAAGTTGGGGACCTCTGCAGTAGATCACGACTACCTGCTACTTTTCTGCCAGCATGTAAAGTTTCTCCATTCATTTCTTCACCTTTAGTAAACATTCTACGAAGTAGAAAACCTTAACATTATGCTTACCAAATCCATTAGCAAAATGTGAATAGAGAAGGAAATTACAGCTTGAAGAAGTCAGGTAGAAGGCTTGTCTTCGGAGAGCCGCATCTAACTACTAGCAGCCTATCTTCTACTGTGGATGTTTGCTGAATTAGGTCCTGCATAGCCAAGACTTGACTACTTTGGCAATGCTACAGTTAGACGTCATCTTTCTTCCTTTGAAGATGCTGAAAACAAAGCACGGGCAATCTAAACTACTATTATATCTTGGAAGGAGTAGGGATGGACTGTCAAAACCTAATTTTATTATAAGAAGGGAGACAGTTACAGGACTGGAGAAATCTTGGGACAGAATAGTATGGAGGAGAAGGAAAGGACAATAAATGGTTGGTCTGGTATTGCTTTGAGTAGTATGAAAGGGCAAAAATGATTAACTAGCTAAATGTCTATGGAGATTCTCAGTCATCCAGGTCATGGTAGTCCCAAAGGTGCTTTTTCAAGAGGCAACTGGACTTTCTTTGATTCTCCTTGAAGACATTTTGCCTCTCATCCAGGAAGCCAAGAGGCGAAACAGCTTCAAGGGGGAAAAAAAGTAAGTCCAGTTGCCTCTTGAAAAGCACTTTTGGGATTAACTAGCTGAATCTGTCAATAGTTTAGATTCTCATTAAAGATAATAATTATACTCTAATTTCTGGTGCTTCCCGTTTCCTTTCCATCTTTATTTTTCTTTGGAATCAATTACTTGCATTTTTAATTAGCTGTTGTTTTCTTCTCCTTTATTCCTTAGGTTACACAGGCATATAAGGAACATGACTATGGAAAAGTCATACGATTACTTCAAGCCTTTTGTAGTAAAGATCTCTCCAGTTTTTATTTTAGTATAATTAAGGACAGGTATGTGAACTTTTGTATCCCCTTATCAGATAAGGAAGTCTCAAAAAATGAAAAAATGCATGCTCTGTACTGCTTGTCCCCAAGATAAATTCTTCCTGAATATACAGAGTGAGATGGATTATTTTGTTACTAACATAAACAGCTAGTTTCTTCAGCTCACATGTATTTTGATACACATAAATTATTCCAACAATGTTTAATGTTTAGAAATTGTTTCCCCAATTATTTTCCTTCCTAAAATCCAGACTTTATTGTGAAGAGGAAAAAGATCCTAAACGCCGTTCGTGTCAAACAGCCTTGGCTGCAGTTTTGGATACAGTGGTTCGTTCTTTTGCACCGATCCTTCCACATCTGTCTGAAGAGGTGTTCCAGTATATTCCATACAGAAAAGGTATGAGTTATAAAACGGTTAAGAAAACAGACACTCTGCATCCAGTCTAGAGATTCTTCACATAAACCTCGTAATGTGTTGAATTCGTTAGTCATATAATTTACATTTGTGTTGTAAAAAAATAGAACGATCAATAAATATTAATTAAATTAATTAGTCATTAAAATTCTTAGCTGTAGGATGAAATCTGCATGTACACATTTTTAAAAAGAATTATATGAAATGATGTCTGACAGCTCAGTGTTGAAGCAATCCAAATAAGGGACAAGATACTCAGTTCTGCTTCCCTTCTAGTCACATTAGTACCTTAATAAAGTAATTGTCCATGCAAGTTTGCAGATTTATGGAATCATAATCAGATCACTGAATTCAAACCCTTGCTCGGTGCAAGAACTAAAATTAAGAGCACTCTTAATAGATCAGGTTCTGTATTACTGAAAATTATTGGGAAGCAGGTACATATAAACTCAAGTGTGGCCACTTAAGGCAGATGGGGAACTTTAATTCATAGAAATCGTTTCCTTGATCAGAGGCAAATATTGGTGTGCAATCTAATGAATTAACCTCAATATCTGCATCAGCTGAAGTTTTTGAGTTGTGTTCAAACAAGCCCACATAAAATGTTAACCCTTATTCTTAGCTTTATGTAGTACAATGCTGCAACTATTACAGAGCTATCTAATGCATTTGTTTTCCCCACCATTCTCTTTTGCAAGAGTCGGATAGCGTGTTTCGTTCCGGATGGATGACCACAAGTGCTGTCTGGAAGAAGCCAGGCCTGGAAGAAGCAGTGGATGGAGCATGCACAATGAGAGATGGCTTCCTTGGCTTTATTGCAGGCAAAAATGCTGCGGAATATCAGGTGATTCTGGTGATTGAGCCTGGGCTGTTCTTTGAATTAATGGAGGTAAGCAGAAAAATCATAAGCTAATATTACATCTCAACTAGTAGTTTAATTTTGAAATGTTTAAGAAAACAAAAGCCATTTATAATGCCTTAATTCAGAAAGACTTGGGAATATAAAGGGATATTCAAAGTTAATTACAAGTAACCCTCTACTTATGACCACAATTGGGACCAGAACCTCTGTCACTAACTGATGCTGTCGTTAAGTGAACCATGCCCAATTTTATGTCCTTTTTTGCTGGATCCGTCTTCTCCCATCGACTTTGCTGGTTGGCTTTGCTGGGAAGGTCCCAAATGGTAACCGTGCGATCTCAGAATGCTGCAACCATCGTAAATACATGCAGGTTGCCAAGTGCCTAAATTTTGATCATGTGACCATTGAGACATTGTGCTGGTGGTAAGTGCAGGGATTGGTTCAAAGTCACTTTCAGCACCATAGTAACTGAATGGTCATTAAAGAATGGTCATAAGTTGAGAACTACCTGTAATGGTTTGACTCGGAGATAGAAACCTTCATTTATCAGATTCATTTGTCAGATTTTGATAAGCAAGATATAGAATCCAAAGACAAGATGTAGAATAATTTTATTTGCTCAATTTCAACCCTATGATTCTATGATCTTGAGTTCAAAGGGTTTTGGTTTTCTTGCCCCAGAGACCTCCTTTGACTTCCATTGTTGTTTTTTGCTGGCTTTTCTACTTTTAGGGGACAGGATATGCAGTTCAGTAATCTTCAACCTTGGACTCTTATTGTTTGTAACCATACAAACTACTACATTTTTATTTGATGCTTTTAGTTTATTGAACTAGAGGCAAAGTATTTAAGGATTCAGATAACCCCATGTTTGTAAAATGACTGTGTATTGGGACTGTAGAGCCCTAGTCTAGTGTATATCTACAATTACAGACCAACATGATGTAGTTATGTCATGTCTTGGAGTTCTTGAATTGTAAATAAGGGTATACCATCACCATAAATTGAAATTATAATAAAAGTCCTCTGCATACATCCAATATCATAGTATTAAGCCTGAATTTAATGTTCAGTGTTCAGTCGGAACAAGCCATAATAGACTTAAGTTTGCATGTATTGCTACCAAATCACATTATGGCTCAAGTATGGTAAACCAGTCCTAGCTTATTATCTTAATGAGAACTGTCATAGACTTGTTTGCATCTGTACCCTTTTCAAAAACTAGTCAGCATGATAACTTATCATTAGGTGCTGCAACCTGAGGAGTGCTCTAGTACATCTCAGTTAAATGAAATAATGATGGCATCACAGACAATGCTGCTGACTGAAGTACCTAGAGATGTGAATACTGACGATATGATTAAAGGCACATTTCTGATAAACTTAGAAGGTAAGTAGACTTTTGTTACACATCCACATATTGAAAGTGTTTGGGCCATGTGATGATAGAACTATAGGAGGACTTCCCTTGATTTAGAGATAAGTCAGCAAAGAATGGGCTTTAATGCGGGATTAATTCGAATCTCTTCTGAAATAGGTGGCGATATCCGAGAGGAGTCTGCCTATAAAGTCATTGTTCTACCAGCTGCCAAATCAAAGTGCCCTCGTTGTCGAAAATACACTGCTGATTCAGCAGAGACTCCATGTGCACGCTGTATGCAAATACTTGGTGAGAAATGATGCCTGTTCCCATAGCGGTCAGATAGTCGGGCCTGCTAAAGCAAGATTCATATTTTGTGAAAACCTGGAATATAGAAGTATCTACACAGAAACCAACATTTTGTTTCTCCGAGAGCTGGAAAGCTAACTTTAAAATTCACGTGTATATATTTAAGCTTGTACACTTAATAAACTGCTTACTAAAATGCCTGACAGTCTTTTTCTTTCTAAGTCTGAAAAGCAGCACAGGAGGAATTCAGATCCATGAATAAGCTGGCTTTTTTTAGTTCGGTTGACTTTAGACTTTAGCACTTAGGTGGTGCAGCTTTATTGCAGTTCATGGACCTGCATGAACCTTTTTTCTATAGTTACTTCCAACACAATCAACCCCTCCCCCCTCCCCACGCAGATCACGTATCAATAAGAAAAAAGTATGTGGAACTTTCATCCTGGTCTAGATTTCTCAATCATAATTAAGAAATTACTTTCTTAAGTAACTATGTTTGCAACTGTATAGTGATAGGTATGGGTGAATGGCTCTTCCTTTGGTTTTGAAAATTGTAGCAGCCTTTTAATGAGACACTCATCTGATCCAGTTGTCAACAGTTTTCTACAGAACAGGTGAGAGTTCAGTATTCAATTAATTACTCACTGTGATTGCTAACATTTTAAGAATGATATACTATTTTACAAAGTCTCCACTCGCCCTTTACAACAGACAAATGGAAGGATTTTCATGAGTTTGGTTCTATCACCCAGTCCCATTGAATTTCAGACAACTCCGTTACAATAACTGAAGGACTACTATAGCCTCTTTTTTTTCCAGACCAAAGCTACCCAGTTGCTTCAACTATTCTATGCTAACTTCAGCACTCCCTCATCCAAGGCTTTTCAAACTTGGCAACTTTAGATACACAGACTTCAACTCCCAGAGTTCCCCATCCAGCATGCTGGTTAGGGATTTTAAGTTAAGCCATACTTCTTAAAATCAGCCCAATTTCTCAATGTTAACACTGTCAGATATTGAAATAGTTGTGGGGCAAATATAAAATTCAACATAGGGAAGACATTTGAATATACCAAACTACAGTAAGGTGTACAGCAGGGGTCTTCAAACTTGCCCCTTTTACGATTTGTGAACATTGCTGGCTGAGGCATTCTGGGAGTTGAAATCCACAAGTCATAAAAGGGCCAAGTTGGAAGACCCCTGCTGTACAGCAAAGAAAGTTGTTACAAATGAGACCAATCCTTTTACAGAAGTGATAAACTAAAACTAGATTCCAGATTTTATTTGATACTTAAAACATGAAGAGGCAGCATCTTTCTTTTTGTTCTACAATGATACTTTTTCCCACTGGACGACTTGCTCTTCATAAGTTGATACTGTTTTTATAGTGAAAATTCAGCCATAATGTAATTGTAGAAAGTCATCCTTTAATGCTGTAACTTGATTAAATGTAATTAGGCTATTGCCTCTTGATTAAATTGCCTCTTGATTAAATGTAATTAGGCTATCACTTTGAAGAAGTATTACCTAACCAGCATACATAATATGTAAGAGCTCTGATTTCTTGGCTTCTGATTGAGTTCATCTTGCTTTAACATTTAAAAAGCAGTCTATTTTCTACCATATAGGAAATTCTTAACATTTGAACAGCACTAAATTGTTCTTAAGCAAACTATTACACAAATGCTTGGTATTAGAAATAAATATTTAGAGTTATACACAAATATACACACTGTTGGTATTATCCACCAAAGGTAGATCTTCACATCTATTTATCATCTCCTAAACTCTTGAGCTGGTAGATTACCAAAGATACTTGAGACTGTTTCATCAAGATGATTCTGGTTCTTATATACAATCTTCACTTTTATTAGAGACCTTTCTAGTCACCGTGCTTCAGTTTTAGTCTTGTTGTCAAGACATTCCTTCCACAGCTTCAATTAGATGCAAAGCAACACTGTACTGACCATGGTTTTCTGGTAGGTGTTCTATCACTTTATTTACTAATTTAGCAGTTGTGGTAATTGGCACTTCTACATTTTTAAGATCTTGTGGATCCTGCAGAGAGAATTGAGACAATCTTTAGATTTCTCTACTAGAAACAGACATGCCAGATAATTTCTAAAACCCAACTGATAGATCTAAGAGAATCTCTATTCATGATTAGGAACAGCCCTGTAAACTAGTTTTATGAATTCAGTGAGGAATATCGCAGATAACCACTGCTGTAGCTTTAGGATCATTTCCAAGAATTTTCAGCCCTGCCACAGCCATTCTTAGAAGATAAAAGATGAATGACTGCAGGCTTCATGCTTTACGTGGCAGTGTGACCAGCTAAGACAGGGAAACTATAGTTATGGAACACAACCTCACCAGTTTACTTCTGGAGTTAATTCTGAGGTTATAGGAAAAACCATCTCAAAAAAGACTGCTCACCCTACCCTTAGATTAACCGTACATATGTCATCAATTCTTATCTCTGTTTTGTGCAGTGCACTGAAGTGAAATAAAGCCCCTCCTCCAACTGCTATAGGTATCATTTAGACTCAATATGAAGATGTCTGTGTGCATTGTTCAATACATTTGAACAATAACATAGATTAAATGAAGTAAGCCATCTCCATCCTTTGCACCATCCTTGTTCCAATATGCCAAATGTTGAGTGTACTACTTGTATACTGTATAAACAACTCATTAAATTCTCAGAAATAAATTACACACTCTCTCTTATGCTTCCATAGCAAAGTTCAGATTCCACTCCATATAGACTAAAGCAAAGCATGCTATTAGGGAAATATTGGTGTAATTGTGTTGGTTCCTATATTGTCCATCTAGGTTAGCATGCTGACCCTGCTTTCCTGCTGCTGAGCAACATATATTACTCTATTTTCATTTTCATGTAAGAAATTTTTTCCCATCAATTTCATATTTTTTGTACAGCACTAATAAACAAAAGTACTTATCAACTTCTTAGATTAAGGTTTTCTGAATACACTGATCCTTATTGTGCAATATGTTTAAGAGGCAGTGGATCTTACCATAGCTTTAAGCCAAGTGCAAAGTGTTGGAGGTAGTCTGGCCAACAGCTCCATGCCTTCTTTTGTTTGAGTGTGCAGTAAGGCATAGGCCAGCCTCTGTCCAGCCAGCACCAACAATTGTGATGCAAGCACTTCTTTGTCCTCTACCTGAAGAATAACCTGCATATACAAGACATTAACTATGTCAGCTGTTATTCTTGCAACACAACAATACTTGTTTTCAAAAAAAAACTTTTGAAAAGAAGCCACTAACGAATGGAGGTACGTGCAGGTCAGTCCAAGAAGACACCTCCCGATTAAGCTACTTTTAGTTTTAAAAGGTACTCTGTCAAATGTTAAAAGTATTACAGACCTGTCGCCAAAATTTAATACTGAAATGTTCAACTGTAAAAATTCTTAAAGCCAACATGCACAGGTAGCCATGTTTAAAAAGATAAAACATAACTTTTTCAATCCCTGCAATACTTACTCATTGTAAAATTTCACTCGCATTGTATAATATTGTACTGGCAAATCAAAAATGGGGTGCATAGGGAAAAAAGGGTGAAGGTCACGTGTGATTGGTTGTATTTGTGAATATGTGCATAAATATCACATACTAAAAAAATCCCTATGTATATATGGCATGAAAGAAGCACCACTACACAAACATAAAAAACTTTCTTGATCCACAAACATTTACATGCATAAGAAAGTGCAATTAGTACCAAATTTGGAAATACACAAATTTGGAGATTTCAAATGTCTCATAAATAAGCTCTCTTAGCTTCAGTGTGGTTAGTTTCTGAACAAATGCCCGAGAAGGGCTCACAAGTTTTTTCTTTTCCTGTTAATAAAAACCTAGACTTAATTCCTACTCTCCTTCCCATTTTCTGCTACAAGGCACGAAGATTGGAAGGCAGAGTCCTGAGGACACAGGTGCACTGCTCTTTTCCGTGCTATGTGTAAGAGGGCTTCTTTTCTAGATGGCACACCAGATGAATCCCCAAAAATGCTTTTTTTCGCGAGGCAACTGGACTTTCTTGTTTTTCTTTGAAGACATTTCGCTTCTCATCCAAGAAGCTTCTTCAGCTCTGACTGGGTGGTGGGGAATGGAACAATTTTTATACTCCTTGCAGACAGCTGGTCATTTGCATTCTTTTAGAGAGTCGTTGAGGCCACCTGGAGGTTTATCTGTGTCGTCAGGGTCACCTGAGTAATGCAAATGGGTGTGGAGCCTTCTTGGAACTGATGGAAGGACTGTGTGGTAGACTGGAGATAAATGATGTCATATCCCAGATAAATGCATGCAAAAACATCGGTGCCGGTGCCAGAAGTTTATTTTAGTGACAGGAGAAATTCCTCACCCCTATTAGCTGCTTACCTGCACCTGAACTCACTGGATCATGGGTGTTAAAATCAGAATTATACCTAATAATGTTGCAATGTATGTCTGTGAAAGTTGGACCATAAGAAAGGCTGAGCGCCTAAGAATTGAGGCCTTTGAACTATGGTGCTGGAGAAGACTCCTGCGAGTCCCCTGGACTGCAAGGCGATCAAAACGGTCAGTCCTAGAGGAGATCAATCCTGACTGCTCTTTAGAAGGCCAGATCCTGAAGTTGAAACTCAACTACTTTGGCCACCTAATGAGAAGGAAGGACTCATTGGAGAAGAGCCTAATGCTGGGAAAGATTGAGGGCAATAGAAGAATGGGACAACAGAGAATGAGGTGGCTGGATGGAGTCACTGAAGCAGTAGGAGTGAGCTTAAATGGACTCCAGAAGATGGTAGAAGACAGGAAGACTTGGAGGAACATTGTCCATGGGGTTGCAATGGGTCAGACACAACTTCGCAATTAACAACAACAAATATTGTCTGGACATTTTCCAGGATAGTACTCTAGTAGTACAGCTTTTCACACTACTGAATCGGTTTCTAGTAGTATAGGTTCCATATAGTCTTCAGAGGTAAATGGGTGTAGACTATAGTTACTCCTGCTCCCCAACCCACACCCATATAAAAGATGCTGCAGTGGAGGAAAAACACATGAACAGTAGTATAGACTCAAGCGATGGATCCTGATTGACCAGAATTTCATCTAAATTTGGAAGAATGGGGGTGACGACCATGGCAGCCAATTTGGGAAATGTTCTCTCCCTTAAATAAGACACGGTATTTTAACATCA